AGTTTTGTTTTAGGAACTTGTTTCCATTTCAGCTATAGAATCGGGGCTTTTCCAACGTTGTCGTTGACTTTAGTAAGTGCTTTCAATATTTACAGTAAAGTTTCAGGGATTTTGATGAAGCAAAAGAGGAGGCAGACGCTTTAGAAGTTTTGGAAGTGCTCAATAACCGTAGAAATCGGCAGGCAAGACGTGCGCATCGTGAAGTTGATGGAGGTGAGTCCAATAGAGCGATATGTTTTCATTAAGTTTTCTTCGTGACACACAGGGCGCCAACTTGATATTATTTGTGTTGCTGTTCATCAAGATTGGTAGATTCAGCAAACCAATCCGGTTCTGCTCTACTTTCATAACAACTAGTGTTCGTTGATTCGTTCGGCGAGCTGTAGTCTGTCATTGCGTAGAGCGGACTACGGTGGTCTTCAGACTGCTTAGGGTGCCGAATTTTGCCTTTGAAGAATAGGTTATCGCCATCACCTCACATATTCCATTTTTGACACACTCTAACTCACGGATAACTAGACTACTAATGTTATGCCAGAAGTTTGAGTTTGCACGGTTATAAGGGCACTACCTCTTTTCGTAGATAACGCATTCCACCCAACCGTTTTATCATTCAGCTTGCACTTTAGCATATACCGCTGCAATCAATACGTACTTCCTGCACGATCCGTGTTACGTTCACCCACAATCATAGGGAGGGTGGGGGACGTTTTAATCTCAGACGAAACCAGTAGGGGAAGTGAGAGAGGTTCATAGTTATCGCTGCGCCTTGTGGTCGTGAACGAGTAGCACTCGCACAGGAGCTTGTACACTGATTGAGAAGTGATGTGTTTGTTTTCCTGTCGAATTCCTGCTCACCAAATAAATTTTTTAAATTATTACATGCCTTCAAGCAATGTTTCAAAAAATCTCGGTAAAGCGTTTTGAAACGCTGGGAATGGAGTTTTCACCCCAAATTTTAAGTGTAACTACTCTTTTTGCTTTCGATCAAAAATTATTGCTTGGTAGTACGACTTAATTTCAGATGATATGAATGTTGTTGACATGGATTTATCGCGTCCATCGTCATCTGTCGTTACATCGCATCGTCCTCGTAATGGATATCCAGTGCAGGAAGAGTTCGTAATGTCGGACGATGATGAACCTTATCCAATTCATGATCCAGACGATCTCGAGTGCAGTGAGCGGAACTCTGTAAGCCAGACTGGGAAATTCTTCTTGGTGTATTGCGGAATTCATTCTATTTCAGATTACTCGTAACAACTTGCCGTTAATCCCAACTGAATGTGGCAGCGTTACGGAGGCGCTTCACAACTTTGTGGTAGTGTTTGAGTCCAGGTCAGGAGTTAGTTTGTTGATGGCTCATGGTTCTACTATCACTTGACTTTGTTTATGTTATTGGAGTGTAGTTGAAGAGGCTACCCACAATTTATATAACGCTATATGAACTGTGTTTAATTCCTGAGAACATTTAGATTTTCCGGCATTGGATGCCATATTCCGTCCTTCTTCACTGGATCGTTACATGAAGCAATTAAAGAGGCTTTTGAATCACCTGGGTAACTCTGTTGTAGTTGCTTATTTTTGACAATTTTCAAGAGTAACGTACTCGTAAGTTCATTTCCGAAATGTTAATCGATGTTCAGAGGAATTTCGGAACGTCGCCCTCTTGCTTTGTACATTCACCACGACGGGAGCATTGCCGCTAATATTTTCCCATCGAAGGTACATCCACGTTAACTAGAACTGAACCACTTTGATTGCTTCATTTCTTTTTCAAGGTCTTATGTAGCGATGCGGTGTCTAATTTATTGAGATGTCAGTACATTCTGTGGCCATGGGATATTACTCATAAGTAAGTTATTGTATGATCACGGTATAAAGAGAACACTTTAAAAAACAAACGCAGTCAGCCCTATTGTAGGCATTTATAAAAAGGAAGACCATTATAAACGAAGGAAATCAAAACAGTTCGTATTGCTCCTTCCTCAGCGACAAACCCTATTATTTGTCAAGCCGGACATGTAGAGGAGCATGCAATGAAATTAATTGTATATTAACTAAAGTGAGCATAAATTATTATAAGTATGATTTTATTACGTCTGCAAAAGCACACGTGAAAAAGAAAATTGAGCATCTCTATACAAGGAATTATAGCTCCAATCAAAATCCATCTGGTTCAAATTTAGCCTTTTCTCTAGAAAGATGCAGTGGTACCAAACGGGGAACTTGTGCACAAAACAAGATGATTCGATAAGGCCGAAGCGTAAGGCTTCGTGATGCAGCATTGGCCCAGCCCAGCACCATTGACCTCACCCACATTTCCTATTTCGCTCCGCCGCTACTGGAGAGGGGGGTTTACATTTGTCCCTCTCGACGGTTTCTTTCCGTTTTTCCATTGCTGGCGTTATACTTCTTATCTCCACTGTAACTTACAAGCGTAATGAAATGTCCGTCAGACTTGGCGATTGTGCCGAGCGATGGGCGATCGGCTGTCGTAATGCGTCGCGATTGCGCAATCGCTGGCAAAATGCAAGAAATAGGCGTTGGCTCCGCCCACGATCGATGCAGTGGGCCGGCAGGGGCCCGTCACATGCTCTGCAGTCAAGATCGGTATCGATCGTGGGCGTAGCCAAAGCCCGTCGCTTGCACTTTGTAGAGCACAATCGCCGACTCTGACTACCATCTAAAACGTCAGTTTGATCACATTTTGCCTCTAAGTTATCCGATTTTTAGGGAAAATGAAGTAAAACTTCGAGAGTGGCTAGAAATGGTAGGGATGTCTGAAATGCGTCGCACACTAGAGTCAATGGTCTACGATAAAGAGAAATTTCCTCTTCTGATTATAATTACAAAGGATCGCGGCTCATATAATATCAATGATATCTGCTCAGGTTGGTTTTTATCTGTCCTTCTTTTATCATTACATCACTTACAAGGTTTCCTTTCTTTGGTGTTTCAGCATAACTAGTGTTTTCATCTTACTTTCGTACTAAATTTCTTTTACTTTGCTGAATGTGTTCTCCAGAGAAGAAATCATAGATATCGGTGGACATTACACCCACGAATCACGACTTTCATTTAGGTATGGACAGTGCAGATATTGTGATGGAGAAGTTAATGGCTGGTATAGATACCTATTCAACTATCAGAAATACAGAAAAGGCCGAAGAGGCGGCTCGCTTGGAGAGGGAGAGAATTCGACAAGAACAAGCGCATGAGTACGTTCTGTTGTCTTCAAAATGTTTCATTCTAAGACTGCTGCACTAAGTAAGCAAATAAGCTGAGATACACTTACTTTCACCACATTCTATTGCTTAAAGCAACAGTCCAGGCAGGGTTTCAACCACTTGGTTTTCAAGTGGTGGAAACATGCCCCAGCCCAATTAAAGTTTATAGGAAATGTCACAAACTTCAAAACCTACCTCTGAAATGCGTTGGAAGGGTCGAAATCCTTCGAGGGGGCGGATCCACCGATCCGAGGCGGGCCTCCAGCAGCTGTGCAGAGCGCTTGCTCGACTAGCGGTCGTTGCGGGACCGCCGCGCTGTATGAGGTCGATTCCATAAGAACGCAATTGAAGCGCTTCAATTTCGATTGCTGGCAAATAGTTATGTATTTGCAAGCATGCATGGCTATTTGCCAGCAGTTGCAATTGGAGCGCATGTACTACGGGCAGGTTCGGACAACTCGTCCAACACACGTCTCCCTAAACGGCAGGGGGAGTCCCTGTCTAAGCCCCTGCCCGACGTTTTTTTCTACTTTTTCTTTCTCCATTGACCAACTTCTCACCTGCAACGTCATTATAGGTGGTCCTTACCCGCGAATTCGTTCCTGGATTGTTGCTTTAAAGGTTCTTTACTTTGTCGTAAGGCCTACCATCACCATGAAGGTACGTGGCGGGAATTGGAGCCCATATTCTCGTTTACTGTGTTGCAGATACGAAATGTCTCTGGCAGCAGACAAAGCTCGAATGCAAGCTAAGGAGCGGGAGTTGAGAGAACAAAGGGAAGAGGAGGAGAGGAGACTACGAGAAGCTGAAGAAACAGAAATGAAGCAAGCTATTTGATTTATCATTGCGTTTTTGTACAAAGAGCTATTCTGTAAGTTTTAGGCGTCAGCTATTAGCTAGCGAGCTACCAGATGAACCAGCTGAAGGTGAGCGAGGTGCAATCATGGTGAAATTCCGTCTGCCAGGAAGCGAGCAGGTAAGTCTTGGATGCGCATACATGATCTCCGATTTCGGTTTTATATTTTGTGTTTCGTTGGTTTTGTTTCGTAGCACGTTTCCTTTTAGGTCATGCGTCGTTTCCGCTCCACAGAAAAGTTGTCGGTGTTAATAAAATTCCTCGGAGCCAAGGGATACTCGGCAAAGGATTATCGTTTTTTCAATTCTGATTTCCCCAAGAAAGACGTAAGCTATTTCCGACACACTCTTTAAATCATTGATTGTGTTAGTCAAGGCTTTCTCTATAGGTGACCACATTGGATGACTCGAAAACGTTTATGGAATTGAAGTGGCCAGTGCGTGAACAGATATTCGTCGAAGAGCGCTGACATGGTCCCATATCTCGCACTCATCTCTCGTTTCAATCTTTCCTCTGAGAACTCTTTCTGTCGTTATCATTTTCTAGATTTCTTTCTCACTGTGACACATCTCCGTTATATTCAGTGTTACTCCTCTACCCAGTACTCCGCTGCATCCACACTACCCTTGCGTGGGTCCGACAATATGGGTATGCGGCCACTGCCGCGCTATATGTGCTGAGCAGTAACTTCTGCCGTTGTTCTGACTATTATCTTCGTATTATCTTTCTATAGGGGCTAATGACGTGACTACTGTAAATTAATAGCGCTGAATGAAACAGACGTCGCGCTTTCCGTTATCCCTTGCCTAGTGATTTGCTATCTGTAAAAAGGCCTGTTTGAAGGTTGATTTTCTAAAAAATTCTTGGATTTGAGGATCGTAGAATAGGTTAAATCCGAAAGCAGCTTTGTGGGATTCATAATGCATTGCTCTCTCAAGACTGGCTGTCGTAATTGCGGCTGAAACTTAAAATTGTCAATACCTGGTACGGTATTGCTCGATGCTAATCTAGGTGAGGTGACCTTCCGAAACTTTTTCTTCTAAAAAATTATGTAGATTTGTACGATATCGGGCAGGTTGAAACTACTTTTAAGAGAAGCCAGTGTTTCCAATATCAATCGTCAGAACGCTTACGTTGTTTTCCCATTCTTTTTATTTGCCAACTATTAAAGCATTTCTAGAAATTTCAAAGAATTAGTTTTGAGATGTTCTGGGTTTATCTTGTTATATACTTCTATTTTTTTCCTACCATGGTAACTTCAAATGCATCGTGGGTGAGGGTCGCTAAGACAAAAACAGTCTTTCACCTTTCACAGCGCGAAATGTTTTCGCCGTGGGGACGTCAGGTCCACTAGTGACCAGGGGTTTTCCGGGTTTACGGACTACTTGATTTTTCCTCAATGGTCCTGCCGCGAATGGCTAGACGATAGAGAACGGGTGAATGCCCTAGGACTAAGCCTTGGAGAGGAGAGGGACCCGCGAGAGAGCGCAGAGGCGGTTTAAAGGGCTGAGTTCAAGTAGTCCGTCGACCGGTGGGGAGGGTCTCTGTCCACGAACACACCCATGATTTGCAGGGGTTAAAGTTAGCTGGTGCGGGCAGTTTTGTCCCGCGCGCGGAGAGGTGTAGCCTTTTGTTTCTCGTTCAAATCGTCCAATGTTCCTAAAAAAATGGATAATTGGCAATGCATCTATAAGTTCCATCAGTCAAGGTAGAATTGGAAAAAGAGCTTTTTGAAAAGCAGTCTTCAAACGAGCCCCTCTGTACGATGAGTTTCCAGTATACCGATGCACCAATCCGGTGTTACACGTACAGTCACGGATTTTCTCGTGTTTTTAATTGAAAACATCGTGTCACATGAATATTTCCGTTGGTTTCTTTATAAACTCTCTTCATTACTAGTTGCTGTGCAACTGACAGCTTACTGCTACTGAACATTGTAACATAATTCTGTTTAAAGCATAAAATATTTGCAATTCCTGTTGATCAACTTCATCGCACTGACAAGGTGCAACATCGTGGCTGGTTAGATACGGTGGGAATGCGCTAGGAAGATAGCTGGCTGGAAAAGACAGTGATTTCGCTAAGTTTGGCTGCTGCTGCTATACGAATTTTGGCGCCGGCACTAACAAAACTGGGGGGAGGCACTAGAACGGGGCTATGGTGATGCATTGATTTGAGATTCGAGTGACGTGTATCACTTTTGTTGGAGGGCCATGACCTTGCAAGCGGTGTGAAGTCTGTTACTGGATGGTAAGCTTTTTTTCATTTTTTTCCAAGTGGAGCCCCCTCCAGGTTGGATATAGAGAGATGCTTAGGAGACTTCGCTTGCGATAGCGCCAACTATGGTACAGTTTGGTATTGAGATATCCGTTTTTCGACTCTGTGGAAAAAGGACGATGAAAGTGTTTTCCAGAAGGAATCGTTATCGGCTCAGCTGCATGATGAATAGCAAAGTGTTCCCTTGGCAACGGTCAGTCCAAATTACGTCGATTAGTTCCCGCTGTTCGTATTGAGCTTACCGTTGATGTTTTATTATATTTGATTTAGAAATCCTAAGTGTATTATATAGCTGTGGAATCTTTTGACCTTCCTATGTGTCGTTGAATTCATCCTTATAGTGAAAATTCCAGGAAAAGCTGGCCCCTTTACTATCCCTTATTAGAATTGATAGATTCCAGAAGTTTATCGTTGTATCTCGAAAGAATGAAAAATATCGTTGGTCCACCATTTGCGCTTTTCTAAGGTCACGGAGCGTGAAGAGTGCCTAATAGGACACTCAAAGGTTTTCAATCGATGGTGACAGGTGACACTCGAAGCAGAGAGTCTGACGGCGAGTACCTGACTGCGAAAGCTGGAGAGAGACGATCAGAAACCGATTTTGAATACACGTGTCGGCAAGGAAGGGTGAAGGTGCTGGACTAGGCCTCGCAGGGGCGCAGTGCCTCTCGCACAGGCTGTATAAAATTGTCTGGAAATGTTATGCAGTTGTGGTGGGCAGCAGTATATGACTCACTTCTAGCGGCGAGAGCAGACACTGAGGGTTCGAAGGGACCGGCTACTCCACAGCCGTTTCCGCAGTTGAGGACTCAGGGGACCATTGATGTTTTGGAAGTCCGCAAGGATCCTGAAGGTGTAGCCAGCTGTGAAGCCACGTGGGAAACAGTGAATCCCTATTGTTCAATACCGTTGAGTTATAATAATTGTGTTTTTGACTTGACGAAAGCGTTAAGGCGAAAAGCCTCACTTCTTTCCGGCCGATTTGGCTTAGACGATGACAATAAGCTGAAGCTGAAGCATAATGGAGCCTTCTGATTTTGAAAGGCTGAAAGAAGTCTTTCTGGTGGAAAACCATGTGGGATGCACGTAAGCTAGTCATCGTAAGTTGGATTCGGTTGAAAGGTAGGCAGATGCTCAAGAATACCTTAACAGAGGTCAGATGCACTTCACACCTCAAAAAGGACGCTTCTTGGTATGCTCCGCTCATTTCGGTCCCCCCATCTCCGAAATAGTATCTGACCTCCTTTCTTCGTCCTTCACCTATTCATTTTTTCTCGGTCTCAAGCAGTCTATGAGTGTGGGTGTGGCAACTTGTGGCTCATATGGGTGCAGGCTCGCCAGTGGCAGCTGACCTTCCGCCTTTGTCAGACTCAGATGTTGTAAAGGCTCATGCTAGGAACTATGGTCCATTTTTCCTGAACATTTCTGGGAACCTCAAAACAGTGGTGAGGAAATGTTCCCAAGTTCAATCCGCCGTGTGACAAATTTTTGCAATCCATGTTGGGGGCCTCCAAATTGTCGCCAAATTACGAGGATGACATGTTAATCGACGCTGGTGCCATTTGGACACAATTTGGAGGCGCCAACATAAATTGCAAAAATTAGACATCACGGAGGATCGAACTTTGGACCATCTCTTCTCCACTATTCTGACCTCCTAGAAGCGTTCAGGAAAAACGGACCATGGTTTTGTGTTTCCTCGCATGAGTCTCTACAAAGTGCAGGAATGCACTTTTGGAAAAGCGCTCCATGTCCTGAAACCTCCCTTGTTAGATATTGCTCCAGTTGATCGATTTTTTCTACTCTATAAGTTCTCCACATAGGTGTGTTTTTTTAGTTAGCCTCGTTATTTCCCTCACAACGACAAGACATCTGTACCGGAATTTTCCAATTGTCGGGTTGGTTTCCCGACCGACTCGAAACCTATTTTGCGTCGGCAGACGTCAATTTGGCCGTTACGTCAATTGGTGGGCGGAAGTCGCCAAGGTGATGTGTGTTTAGGTGATCTTGATTGCCTTAGCAGTCCCGAACCTGACGGCTTGGAATAGGTTCTGTCGGGTAGTACCGACAGCGATCAGACAACAAGCACACAGCCAATCTCACCTAAAACGCTTATCCCTACTTATTTGTTATGCGACAAGTCTGTCTGTCTGTCTGTCTGTCTGTCTGTCTGTCTGTCTGTCTGTCTGTCTGTCTGTCTGTCTGTGTCTGTCTGTCTGTCTGTCTGTCTGTCTGTCTGTCTGTCTGTCTGTCTGTCTGTCTGTCTGTCTGTCTGTCTGTCTGTCTGTCTGTCTGTCTGTCTGTCTGTCTGTCTGTCTGTCTGTCTGTCTGTCTGTCTGTCTGTCTGTCTGTCTGTCTGTCTGTCTGTCTGTCTGTCTGTCTGTCTGTCTGTCTGTCTGTCTGTCTGTCTATCTGTGTCTGTCTGATATGTCCGTCTGTCACGAAATTCCGTATTAAGCGGACAACAACCTACTGGGTCCAGGTCATGTTTGGGATGGGTGTACCATATCTCGAGAGAAGAGCAATTATACAGCTAAGACGGCATGCCACTACAGGTTGGACGTGGTGTGCATCGAATAGCAGTATGAGGACTCATGGTTTAAGTTCGTCACCAAACAGCTCGAGACTGGGACAAGTGGGATATAGGGTCTGCATGGTTGGTGGAGCCGGGAATTGAATTGGGGACCTCCCTTGGTGGGCGGGGTGTTCTTAAAAAAAGCGGTGCTCATTGAAAATGTTCGTAACTCGGTTAGGAGAAAACCGACGGAGCAGAAAAGAAATAAGTGTGGGGAAGCAATGTCTAAGGTATTTTCGGCATACATGGACTGTGAACGGCCGAACAACAAAGGGTTCTGAAGGTAGAAAGCGTTCACTACAAGATCCATTGTTTGGTTCCGAGATGACGTAGAGACCGGAAAAAACGTGTGTAGAGGTCAGAGGAGAGGGAAGGTTGAGTGTAAACGCTGGTCGTGGCATACAACGAGGTGTTCGGAATTTGCTGTAGGGCTTATAACTCGGTTTCTTCTAGAAGTCCCGGTCGGAGCTGAGAACAGTGGATAGAGTCAGCGCAGAGATTGAGCCAAATTTTTGCTTAGTGGGCGGGGCTTGCACAAGAGTGGGCGGAGTTATCCATAAAACATTATAACTCGGTACCAACGAGTCTTGGAGACCGGGAAAAAAGTGCATCGAGTC